TGTGTTCTTGTTGCAGATTTAAGCTGTCTAAACTTCAGAACAATCTATTGCCTTCAAAACTTTAATTTGTGCTCATTGCACATACGCATGATAATAAGTCTTTAACTGCACAGACACATACATCATTCAGTGCATAGGGTGGACGATGCTCCCTGAGTGAGCAGCTGTTCAATATTCTTTTTATTCTTATCACTCAATATGTGGCTCCATGCCTTCCTTACTGCACATCATTCAAACTCTGTGCAGAATACTGAATTATTAATATCTTTATGGGTGTTTCCACAGCACTTTCTGCTGGGTTTCTGAGTGCTTCCCAAACACTAATTAATTTATCTTTAAACCTGTAAAGTGAGACTGTACTATTAGACTCACTTTACAGATGGGGAACTGAAGTATTGAGCCGTTATGGTCAAGATTAATGAACATGTCCACTAATTTGGGTCTGCAATATGATGTGCTTACAGCCAGATTTTGCAAGATATTTAGCATTTTTATGGTACTTCATACATTTAAAGCACAAATCCCATTGATATCAGCAGCATCTGTGAACACTCAGCACTTCTGTGACTCAGTCTCAAGCATCTAAGATGTGAACTCAAAATAAGGAACACACAGCAAGTGGCCACTTACATAACACCTGCTTGAATCACTTGAGAAGCCTGAGACTACAACAGGAATAGACAAGAGGTCACTGTGAGCATTAGTATTCTGGGAAAATCCTTTTATCCACCATTCAGCTATTTTCACCCAGAGAGTTTGCTTTCTCTTTTTGCCTATTTGGATTTTACTTACAGCAGCTTCTTGCTTTTTCATTATATTCCAGCATATTCTAGCCTATGATGTTGAACCACCTCAGCTCATTGCCTGAGAGAGTAATGCCAAGGATGCCTCTTCAGCATCACTGGCATCTTGCAATTCACACCACCACCTTCTACAAGTCAGAATGACACAAGGCCAGCTGCAATGGTAGTTGTTGAACTCAATATGAACCCAGCACAAAAATACATGTGTAAAGTCAGTAAGTATACAGATGCTGTATAGCATTATATGAGCAATAAGTGTGCAAAGAAGACTGGCTGGTATGCTTATCAGATCCAGAAAAGCTAATTAGAGATAAATGAAAAATAAATGAAAAATGCTCACCAGCTTTGTAGGCTCACAAAATCTCCACAAAGAGCAACCTCCCAAGAAAAACCCTTCTTTAGTGGCTGTCAGCTTTTAAATGGGGTCCAGGACAGACTCCACCCCTTCCAAGCAGGCAGGTGAATTGCCTTCACCTGTGTTCCCATGGCTGGCTCAGTACTCTCCTCAGGTGATCAACCAGAGATGCAGGCCATGATTCAACGGTTCCCATACAGCATGCAACATCCTACCAGGAGATTTTGCAGTTGTTTTGCTTTGCTGTTGTGAAACGTTGTGACAAATCTTGAGAGGATTTTGTGCCAGTAGTGCCCTTCTCCTAGTATATGCCTGAGCTCTTATCTCATTTCCTGATTGAATTCTGACTGCTCCCATCTTTGTTTTTCATGTTATAACTCATATCCCTTTGACAATCAAAGACAAAATGATTTATACCCCAAAAATACAAGCTGTGCACGTGTGTGTGGCAGGTTCCATTACAACTGGCTATGCTTTATATTTGGCTACTTACTGATCCTTATCCTATTTTATAACCTGATCCTCTGTAAGAGATATTCAAGTTTTGCACCAAGATGCATTTATTGCCTACACAGAGAGGCAGCCTGTGAATGAATGGGCAATGACTTGGCAGTTATCACCACTGTACTCCAGTTCTCAGTAGCCTGTTGATGCTCTAATGATGGATCTAATAAGCCAGAAACAGTAGTTGGCCAGAGTGTACAACACTGTTCAGTCTGACTTTCCATTATACAGTTTGCCACATCAGCTATCAAAGCTCCAAGTAAGAGAACAATGAGGAGCTGAATTAGAAGCACCAGCAGGACACCACAACATTCTCACACTGCATTTTGGTGACCTGTGCAATCATCCATAACACATATCTCTAAAGGTGGTACTTGGCTGACCACCATCTCCAGTAGAAATGTTTTCTGTGAAAGATGAGAATTACCAATACATTAACAATATATTTATTTAGCATTTGATTATTTTCTTTTCCATGAAAGACCTAGACCCACAAATAATCTTTGGACTTAAGGGCTCTTCTTTACATAACAAATAAATTTTCATCTTGTTCAGACAACAATTTAAACATTAGCTAAGTGTAAAAGTACAAACACAGTCTAGAAATCAGGGACAATCAGAATGCCTTCACCTGAGACAGAATGATTCATAGCCTGAAGTAGACTCCTACCTACATTTTAGTATGAAGCAAAAGGACCTGGAAACTGGTTGGAACAACTCAGTGGGTGAGTCCTGCGGTCTTCAGGATGATAGAGTCTCATTGGGATCACTGAGACAGCAAGAGGTAATCTGCTGGAATAAGCTCTGCAGGGCAGTTGTACAGCTGTGGGATGGTATGAACGCTAAAGACTGAGAATCACAGAATCACAGAATTGCAGGGGTTGGAAGGGATTTCAAGAAATCATCGAGTCCAAACCCTCTGCTAACGCAGGTAGTCTACAAAACAGGTGGGCATCCAGCCAGGTCTTGAATATTTCCACAGAAGGAGACTCCACAGCTCCTCAGGGCACCCAATTCCAATGCTCCATCACCCTTACCATAAAGAAGTTCTTCTGCATGTTTGAATGGAACTTCCTATGTTCAAGTTTTCGGTCATTAATCCTTGTCCTATTGCTACACAACCATCAAGAACCACCAAGTCTGGCCTCATCTATTTGCCTCCCACCTCCTTCAAGATATTTATAAACACTGATCAAATCCCCTCTTGGTCTTCTTTTCTCCAGGCTCAACAGACCCAGCCTTTCCTCATATGAGAGATGCCTCTTAGTCATCTTTGTGACCCTCCACTGAACTTCTTGTATGAGATTCCTGTCTTTTCTGAACTAAGAAACCAGCATATATACTCTGTGATCTATGCCAGGAATTCATGAGACAGTTTTCCCTTCATGAGACAGTTTTCTCTTTATCAGAGTTACTTGTGTGTAGATTGGGACAACCATGTTAACAGTTCTGTTTGCTTTGTTATATAAATTCTATAATTTTTATATCTATGCAAATTTATGCAAAGTTATGCAAATTTAACACTGAATTTAAGGATCTTGATGTAACTAACAGTACTGTTGTTTCTCACTTTAGCAGTGGAAAGAATTTTTCTGGTAGCTGTCTGACAATATCATATGACCTGACAATATCAGGTCATTTAAGGTTGAAAATTTGTCTCTATTTCACTTAAGTTAGTCCAACTTCCCTTTGAAGTTTGTCAATCCAAAGCACAAGCTACACTCCATAATAAAGAATATGTGTGACTCCTTTTCTCAGAACAAAGACAAATGTCCTGAATTGCTTCAGTGTCTTTATACTCATTAAACTCTTTCTAAGCTTATTAACTTTTAGGATCTGCCTTCTGGAAAGATTTTGTGGAGGTACTCAGTCATATTACCCCCAGGATATGTTACAATATTGATAATTCTTGTAATTGTATGGTGTCAAAATATTTGGTATTCTCCCAGATTTGAGAACAAAATGCTCTTTTGAAAATTTCAGGACTCATTAAAAAGACATGTAGCAAAACCAAATACACATAGGCTGTGTAGAACTAGCAAAAGTTTTTTTGCCTTCTGTTCCAAAGCCCAAGGAAATTTCTGTACACTGTGATCTAAAAAAAAACTTATGGGGATATTCCTGTTGGAAAATGGAATTTACAGGCCAGAGTTTGTTTATTTCAACTGCTAACTGCCTTTTCCAAGGAATGAGAGAGGGACAACAACTAACCCACTTCCAGGTTTCTTCCCCAGCAGAAACAAGTAGATGTGCTTCCTGTCTTTGGGCAGTGAGGTGAATCCCCATCCTTCCCTTAAATTATATTTCTTTTGACTAAAAACTTCCCCTGATGCTTTGGATATTAGATCCAATGCTATAGAGACAGAGGAGCAGAAACTCTTTTATACCTTGTGAGGTACCAGATTGGTTGCTGTCTCCAAAAATCAAGGGGCTTGATGAAGACAAGAACTTCACTCCACACGGGGCACAAAAAAAAAAGTTTGGCAGGTATGTGGAAAGAAGATGATTAAACAGAAGGTATTTTCTTCTGTTCCTGATCCAGAGAGACTGAAGGATATGGGTGGATCTCATCATGCACGATTCTCTTCTTCAGTGCAGATTTTCATATTTCTGGTGTTCTTTACCTCTGCATTCTGCAGTAGAGTCTGTGAATCTAAACCTGCTTTTTTTAATCACTTCCTAAAAATAAATTTCTTGGGATTACACGGGTACATCTGTGGAAAAAATGTAATTAATTTATTTTTATTTATAAAATCCTAAATGAATGAAGACCAGCCTTGCTGAGAAACCACCTTTTTTTTGCCGTCATTTTTCTGTGCCAAAGATCAGCAAGTAAACATTGTGTAACATACTTCAGTCTACGTAGGAGGTAACAGCATGACAGTGCAGCTGAGCTGTTCTTTCAGCAGCATGGATGTCAGCCAAATCAGAATCACCACACAACCACAGCTTGACTGTCACCATAGGTATGACAAGGAACCCGAAGGCCTAACTTCAGTTTGTGCATTCTGCTGTTTTCACAATGCCTAAATTCCTGTAAGCATTTTACACTTTGTTATGCTTTCCCCAAAGCTTGGGACTGTGAAGTTTAAACTGCAGGTTGGAGAGGTGTATACCTAAAGTAATTGCCACTGGTTTGGACTCTGATGTTTATTGCAGCAGCTCTCAATTGTGGCTGTAAGAAAAGAAACACACAATCTACCACTGACTTCTAACTTGACTGCTACTGTAAGAAAATAGTATAATTCACTCAAAAAATTGTCTTGAATTTCTATTTTATATATATATATGTATATTTACTAATTTGCTAGATATTAAACAAATGAACTGATGAAAGTTTGTGGTTAAACATTTATTAAAATGATAACATATTCTTCCCAGCCTCTTCCCTTCCTCCCCATTCCTTTCCCTCTTTTCCATACAGAGATATCATAAAAGATACTATTTTGGGGCTTGCAAGGAATGCACTAATGTATATCTCTCATTTTCATCTTCATCCAGCACTCTGCAGTTGTAGTATAATTCCCAACCTGTAAGAACAAATATTTTCTGCTTTATGCTCATGCATAAATCTGAAATTTACATGCCCATGTGCCACACACTTAGGTATAAATTATCACTAACCACTTTAAATTCAATTAAAATGCATTCTATTAACAAATGTGAGTTCAGACTGAACTAGTTAGGCAAAAAAAAAAAAAAAAGAGATTGAGAGAGAGAGAGAGCACATAGGACCTAGGACCTTTTAAACTGCAAATTCTGCTATTCAGGCAGTGGGAAAACAATACAATTACATGCAAGGTCTTGTAGAGCCTTGCTTAATGCGTGATGAACACGCTGACCAAACACTCAGTCCTCCTACCTCTCTATCCCAGAAGTATCTGAAAGGAGCAGGACAGCTGTAGTCTTCCTGATTTTGGGCCATGGCAGAGAATGGGATGACAGATGTTGAGCTATTCTTTCAGTGCAGGCGGGAACTCCTCTCTGTCAAACAAAGAAGATTGACAGTCTCAGAGCCTGGTTTATTTGTATTAAAAAGCCAGCTGCTTCCTTAACAGTTGCAGGCAGTATCCCTAGCACCGAAGAAAGTGGATGAATACATTAGTAACTACTAACATGATGTTATCTGTTGAGTGATTCTGTGGAAAACAGTAATAAAAAAAAAAAAAAAAAAAAAAAAAAAAAAAAAAAAAAAAGTGGCATAGACTCCACTCAGTGTCATTTTCTCCCTTGTAATGACATTTGTCTTTACTCCTGAACATACCAGGCTTCTAAATTTGTGCTGGAATATGTCCCCAAGCGTTTGTTGTGTGGTGTCTAATTAGTGTTCAACAGCTATCCTGTATGAAGCACTGACTGCCTTCCAAATAAAGAAACAGTTGCAGACTCTCTGCCTCAAAGACAAGTTTCTTCAACATTATCAGACTTCTGATTTGCCAATAAATGGAGTTTAACCATTTCAGAAGGTCTGTTTAGCTATTCATATTTAGCTCTTTTACCTACTTTTAATACAACACGATACGAGATGGTATATAAAGGGTATTTCTTTACAGTGACTTCAATTTTTCATTAGCCAAGAACGTCTCAGGGAAAAAAAAAAAACAGTTTACCCCATAAAATGTGAAAGTCAATTTTGAACAGCAGTATTTGAAAGATACAGAGTCAGCATACAGACAAATTACATTCCAATTACAAACATTTAGCAGTCATCAAGATTGCAGGTCCCTGTTAATTGGCGATTACCATACTGAAGCCTACATGCCCCTATGTGAGCATGGGGAAGCATACGACTGTTATCCGTCAGCATACGCTTTGCTTGCGTAAAAAGGAGATTTGTGTCTGTTGACAGCCTTAAAACCTCTCCCGGCCCGCGGTCAGCACCACGCGGACACCAGAGGAGGGAGGGACCGCCAGGAAGGCAGCTCGCACCGGAGCCCAGGGCTCTGCAGAAGCCGTGGGACTCCCACAGGGCACATCCAGCAGGTCCCAGTCGCGGGGAGCGCCGCGTGTGCGTGGGGCGGGACGAGGCCCTCACCCCGCCCGCCCCGCCGCCCGCTGCAACCGCCCCCGAGGGCCGTCAACAACCGCCCTCTGCACGGCGGCACAGCAGCCCGGCTCCGCTCGGACCGGCCCCCTGCGCGGCCGCCTGTGAGGGCGCCGCTCCCGCCGAGAGGGCGGAGAGGGGCGGGAGCGGGAGGAGAACGGGAGGCGGAGGGGCGGAGGAGGGCCGGAGGAGGGCCGGGCCGGGACGGCCGCGGCGCGGCGCGCGGCCTCGACCTTTTGTGCAGCGCCCTGCCCGGTTGTCAGCGCGGGGGGCGGAGGTGATTGAGAGGGAGGGTCGCGGCCGGGGTTTGGGAGGTGATGGCGTGTGAGTGAGCTCCGGGGGGCAGAGCGCGGAGTTGTGCCGATGTTCGCCCCACGTGGAGGTGTTGCAAAGGGAACAGGTCTGTGCATGGATGGGAGGCTGTGAGGCCGGGCAGGGGGCACAGGCAGGCTGCCTGACTCGGGTGGGATGCTGGCAAGTGTCAGGGTCCTTGAAGAACTGTCCCACTGTGGAAAAGGCCTGCGCTTATTCCGTCGCATTTTTCTTCTCCAAGATGGGCAGCTCCAGTAAATTCAGACCGAGCCTTTGCTCTGTGTTTGAAGAACAGCATTCCACCAGCACAACAGTGAGCGGCCTGTCAGAGCAGCGGCACGTTCTACTGCCAGCCAAGTGAGGGTCACTGTGGCCTTTCATCCCATGTCTCCGGTGCAGGGCAGTTGTTGGACAACTAGCGAAACACCCTTGAGTAGTAGTGCTGGCCCCTCCTCATGCAGGACGAAGTGCTCTGAGTCTCGCGGATCTCAATGTCAGCTGGTGTGTTCAGTGTGAAGTCAACCACCAGATTGTTCCCAAGGGCCCCATTGCATCCTTGGTCCACCAAAGCTTTCTTCCCTTCCACTTCTGGACCAATGTTGTTTTTTTCCACTTAGTCATGGTAGAAATGCTGGATTCAAAGGCCAGCTGACATGGAGCTTCATACTAGATTGGACAGCACTGGTCTCCTCACAGTTGCCAGGTGCAAGAAAGCATTGTATGTTTGAATGTTCCAGAAGACAGGGCAGGCTGAGTGATTTCTATCCAAGGACAGAGAAACAGACCCACATCTCGGGGTTTCGTGGAGATCGATTCCTCTGAGACATCTTCTGAGCATCTCAGGCCAACATGACTTAAAACAAATGTAATGGACTCAGTCACAACATATTACATATTTTAGCAAAAGAAATAAGAATCTTCTCCTGTGCTCTGCAGAGCTCCTGAAATTTCCTTCTAGGTCCCCATGGAGTTATTCTGCTCCTTCAGCTCATGTCTAAGGAGCGTAGAGATGTTTCTGTTCAGCAAGGACAAATTAGTGAAAAACACATCTACTGAAACTGTCAGCAGTGAGCAGGTTTTAGTTAGGGAGAATAACACACATAGGTAAACATCCCAGAAAGCTGCATGCAGAGTAGCAAACAGGATGGGAGCAAAGTTCTTTATCAATACCAGCTGTGTTCCCACTGAGGATAGCACTGGTGGAAGTGTGCCCATTCTCTGTGTAACAAGGAAAGGAGTAAAACTGAGAATATTGAACACCAGACTTCTATTCGAAAGGAACAATTTGTGGTCCACTGAACTCACTACACCATGGACCTGACATGGAAAATGTGTGTCCTTTGGTTAAAATGTGTCCAGGACTTGGCTGAATTAATGGTTTGCTCTCAAGCAGAGGTCTTCTGTGATGGGGAGAAAAGCCTGCAATGGGGAGAGAGGTGCTGCCAATCTTTCTCTTTGGTAGTACTGCATTTACAATAGGGAGAACATGCTCAGGTGGTCTGGAGCCCTGGGAATAGGGATAGGGTCCAACCAACACTGCACAAAGTGACCACAAGGGACAAAGGGCTGCCAGAGCAAAGCAGGGCCTGCCAGGCTCAGCCACAGTAGCCAGGGCACCAGGAGGGACTTCAGGCAATAGGCTGTGCTGCTCTGCTGTGCTGCTCTGTGGGTGTGGGGGGTTTCACACCTCTCATCCCATCCATTGGAAGCTTTGGAAATGGTTAGGAAATGGATACACACTGCTCAGCTTTGCAGAATCACCTTTGAAGACGATTACTGAAAGAGACAGAACTGCAATAACAGTTTATTGCAATATAATGCAGCAAGAGACAAAAATAGAAGGGGCTCATTATTGTGGTTGATAAACATAGGCAAAGCACATGCCTGACCTTTCATTTGTACAATTAATTGTTCCAGCAGAAAGAAAATGAGTCTTAATTGTGTGCAGCTTCCTAGAGGATCAGCTGTGTGTGCCCCTCCGCTCTCGGGGAAAAAGGCTGTGAAGTTTTCCTGAAGCTTTCTGCTTTCCACCAGGGCAGGAAAAGGAGAAAGGAGGTTCGCTGTGTTTCTCTCTCCCACCTCTGCCCTGCACCCCGCCTCCCACGAAGAAGAATATTGAGCTATAGTGCTATTTAAACAACCTCAACATTTTCTTCAGTCCCGTAAAACAGGCTCTTCCTCTTGCATTTTCAGTGCTATTTCGCGCCTATAATAAGGAAATACTGTATAATGCTCAATCGAAAGTCGTTTCAGAGTCCAAGAGTCAGTCAAAAGCAGCAACTTAAACCCACTCCTAATTTGACTGTCAAATCACATTGATAGCAGTGGGTGGTCACAGTTCGAAACGAGACTTCCCAGCCCCCTGTGTTGCTATCCAAATGATATCCGTGGGCTTCGCAGGGCTGGGTCACGGTGTGCTCGCAGTGCCGATACCCAGCGCCGGACTCGGGAACGACCCCGTGGTGGTGAGCGGGGTATCGCTCCAGGACCGGCACCGTGGCCGCAGAACGAACCCAGCGCCTCTCGCCCTAGTGCCCGGCGGCAGCCGGTTCCTTTGGAGGACCCCCCTTGAAGCCCTTTTGTTCCGTCCTGCCCGAGGACCGATGTCCTCCGCACCCATCCTGCCGGGGGGTCCCGGGGCTCAAACGCGATCGGGCCCTTCTCAGCTCGCCCATCAGATCCCGCCCGCAGAGCGTGACCGTCCTAAACGGACCTCTTATCGATAGCGATTTTTAATCTCGATCTCACAAAGGAGCACATTCTCTGCCCGTTAATAGAGCACAACGCCCATTGACTTCTATCCCATTGACTTCAATGGGAGTTTCGCTCCATTAAGGATTGCAGAATTTGGCCTAAACTGACCGCAGTAATTTTGCTGCCGGTAATAGAGCTTCAAAGCCGTCTCTAATTAGCCGATGAGCAGGAATCGTTAAACATGCAGTACAATTCCTCCAGCTACGCCGAGGCTGCGGAGCAGTTGAACAGTCCCGTTCAGCCCCGGGGAAGCTCAGAATTCAGCTATCGCTGCGACTTCTGCGGGGACAGCGTGGGGACGGGGTGCTGGACGGGACATTCCTGGTTCCATAGCCGCTCTGCTAGCGTAGGAACAGGAGAAAACGAAGCACTACGGCAGATTTGATCGCACACTGATTCTTTCCCTCCTTCGAAGATGCCTGAAAAAGAATCACTGTACGTGCTGCTGTTTCTATTTATCAAAAACCAGCCTAATTAGTTTTGTTTATCCGTAACCCAGAGCGCTCCTAACGAGTTATGCAGAATCCCACAGTGCAACCGAGCCGCAGTTTGGGCTGCGCTCAGCTCCGCTGCGACCTGGCACCTTCTCGTCCAGCAGGAGCAAACTCCGTCCCCTTGAGCCAAGCTCGTCTGTAAGGGCACTTCCATTGCACGCCGTTCGTGGGCACAGCCTCCTTCCCGAATCCCACAGCTGTACATCCAGCAGCGTGCAGAAATGCCTCGCCAAGACCTGGTTTAATAGCCGAGTTCTTGTGAATTTGAATTTGGAAAACAACGTTTTCCTTTTGAAATAATATATTCAGCTACTCGTGCAAAGGCGAAATATGGCTATATATATATATATATATATATGTATAATTTTAAATAGCATATTTTTAAAGGGCATTTCCGTATAATCTTCTCGAAAAACTGACCAGTAGAAGAGAATACTCCGGAAATCATACGCTGCATACGCAGCATCCCAGTCGTCTTTTTGATAAAGAAATCTGCCTGTAAGTTTTGGTCAGTATTCTAGGCAAAATATGCTCAACAGATGATAGTGGAGATGCAGCCAGAAAACAACTCCAGCTATTTAAACTGCCAAATGAGACATAAAGCCGCATTGTAAAAATCATCTGGAAAACAGGTTTTCCTATTGAAGTCGCTATGTGTTAATTACTGTGATCTGGAAGAGCGCTGTATCTAAACGCCTGGAAGCCGACTTTCACCCCGCGTATGTAAATGAAGAAAGTGCTGAATCTAAGCCAGAGGGTTCATGTTCGGATTCATTTCCGTGCATGCCTAGACATTAATATGTGTTCATGTAGGGTTCGTACAGTACGAGGTGTTATTTCCTTATAAAGAAACACCAGGTCTCGCTTTCCATTCTCCTTACAAAATTATTCACATTATTTATGCTACATTGAGCGATCTAATTTCTTCGTGATAGTCAGCTAATTGCTCTGGCAGGTAATTAGAAGCGGTTTACAACGCAAAGGGCTTCTGCGGTGCCCCTCGGATTATTAAGTTGCTCTGTAAATTATACCATATTTGCCGAAGAGAGCGGGGGAGGAAGGAGCTAACGATCTTTTGAGAAGTTCTTCTCCTGCGATCGGAGCCGAAACGCGTCCCTGTCCCCCCTCCTCCCCACCCAAGACTTAAAAAAATAGAGGGAGGGGGCTTTGCCGGGGCGCGGAGTCGAATTATTCTAAAGCACGCGATCTGAAGCCCATTTTGTTCGTGCTCACTGGTCCAGAATAACTTGGCCATAATGGCCGGGAATG